GACTGCCGACTGCAAGCCAAGTCCAAGTGTCGTGAGTCTGGTGACTGGTGACTCTTTCTCCCTCTTTATTTATTTTTATTTTGTTTTTGTTTAATTTTGTTGGCTACTTAACTTGTTGATGTTGAGTATTGACTAACGAATGTTAATTATGTTATGATTATTGTTTCGGGAATTTATGTTTCCGAATTATGACTTATTATAAGTAATTTATGTTTTAATGAGGAATGATTATTGTTTCAAGAATTTATGTTTATGAAATTATTTTCGCGAATTGTGATTTATTATAAGTAATTTATGTTTTTACAAGGAATGATTTATGTTTCGGGAATTTATGTTTACGAAATTATGTTCGTGAATTGTGATTTATTATAAGTAATTTATGTTTTAATGAGGAATGATTATTGATTTGAGAATTCATATTTACGAATTGTGATTTATGATAAGTAATTTATATTTTAATGAGGAATGACTATTGAATAACTTTTTCGGACTATTACGATCGTTGATTGTCGACGATCAACGGTCAACTTCCGCCCTAGCTGGATTTCGATCCTGGATTCGCCCCTGGCGATGCCCTAAATGCTGTCCCAAATTACAGCAGTAAAAGGTTTGTTATTTATGTGAAGAAGGGTGTTTATTTTGAAAAAGTTAAGGTTGAGCTTAGTCAATGGAAATATGGAATGTCATGATGTTTGGTGATGGAATACATCAGATTGTTGTTTCTGGCAATTGCTTGCAGCACGTCCGACGGATTTAAAACGTCTTTGACTAGAACTTTCTGTAAGTTTTTACATCATTACCTTTTGCTTCCTCCTTTTTCCCAAATTGCTATAGGCTCGATTTATTGCAAAAGGATTTCACCAACACGTGAACTTAAATTTGATTCAATTGGGTGGAGTAGCCAGAGGAAGAGGAGAGGCGGAGGAAGAGGCGCGAAGAGAGAGAGAGAGAGAGAGAGAGAATTTCCATTTCTCTTTTTCTTTTTCTTTTTCTTTTTTTTTTCCATTTTTAATGTTTTAAATTTTAATAAGGCTTTTGGACCGATTTGCATTTTTAAAAAGTTTGGGCCTATAGTTACAATTTATTCTTTATTTTTCTTTCTTTTTCATTTAAATAGTAGGGTATTTTAGTCATTTTACGGTAAAAAATGGTGAAAAGGACTTTAGCGTAACAAAAGGTTGAAATGAGGGCAGAAATGCCAAAAAATGAAAAGTGGGAACGTTTTCCACAATGAACTTGAAAGGTAAGGATATTTTGTGCCAATTACTCTTATATAAAATATATACGTTTGAAAGGTAGGGATATTTTGTGCCAATTACACTTATATAAAATATATACGTTAGTAAAATATTGCAAAAAGAAAAAAAATGATGATAATAATAATAAACTCCACCCACTCCCCATATTGTGTGTGATCTGGAATTTGTGGACCAACTCTATTTTTTACACATTTTATTTTCGTGAAGTTATAATTTAGGTTTGATCTGGATCTCATTATGTAATTTTATTTTCCTTTTTCAACAATGTAAGGATACGGGGAATGAGGAATAATATATATATATATATGTTTGTGCGTGAATTAGTGTATATACTCACATGGCCATGTGACAAAAATATAAAAGAAAAAAAAACACCACCCACTCCCTATATTGTGTGTGATCTGGAATTTGTTGACCAACTCTATTTTTTACACATTTTATTTTCGTGAAGTTAGATTTAGATTTGATCTGGATCTCATTATATAATTTTATTTTCCTTTTTGTATAATGTAAGAATATGGGAATAAAATCTTCACCTCCAACCAAGGTCCAAGAATATAGAAAATATATACGTTTGCACTTGAATTAGTCTATATACTCATATTGGTGGGTCCCATGTGAGTAAAATATTGTAAAAAAAAACCCACCTATTCCCCATATTGTGTGTGATCTGGAATTTGTTGACCAACTCTATTTTTTATGCATTTTTATTTCCATGAAGTTAGATTTAGGTTCCGTTTCGTAGGGATTTTTTGCTTCAAAAAATTGATTTTTTGATCGTTATTTTACTATTCAAGCCGTAATTTTGACTTTTTATCTCACATGTGGACCCCACTTTTCTTCTAACGTTCAAAAAATTAATTCTCAAAATCCCTACCAAACGGGCCCTTAGGTTTATGTAGATCTCATTATGTAATTTTATTTTCCTTTTTCAATAATGTAAGAATATGGGAATAAAATCCTCACCTCCAACCCAGAACATATAAAATATATACGTTTGCACGTGAATTAGTGTATATACTCACATGGGTGGGTCCCATGTGAATAAAATATTGCAAAATAATAATAATAATAATAATAATAATAATAATAAATATCACCCACTCCCCATATTGTGTGTGACCTGGAATTTGTTGACCAACTCTATTTTGTACACATTTTATTTTCGTGAAATTAGATTTAGGTTTGATACGGAACTCATTATATAATTTTATTTTCCTTTTTCAATAATGTAAGGACATGGGAATAAAATCCTCACCCCCAAAACCAAGATTATATAAAATATATACGTTTGTGCATGAATTAGTGTATATAGTATATACTCACATGGGGTGGGTCCCATGTGAGTAAAATATTATCAAAAAAAAAAAAAGAGAAACCCACCCACTCTCCATATTGTGTGTGATCTGGAATTTGTTGACCAACTCTATTTTTTACACATTTTATCTTCGTGAAGTTAAATTTAGGTTTTATCTAGATCTCATTATATAATTTTATTTTCCTTTTTCAATAATGTAAGAACATGGGAACAAAATCACCATCTCCAACCAAGAACATATAACATATATATGTTTGCACGTGAATTAGTGTATATACTCACATGGGTGGGTCTCATGTGAGTAAAATATTTCAAAAAAAATAAAAAAATATCACTCACTCCCCATATTGTGTGTGACCTGGAATTTGTTCACCAACTCTATTTTGTACACATTTTATTTTTGTGAAGTTAAATTTAGGTTTGATATGGATCTCATTATATAATTTTATTTTCCTTTTTCAATAATGTAAGGACATGGGAATAAAATCCTCACCTCCAACCAAGAACATATAAAATATATATGTTTGCGTGTGAATTAGTGTATATACTCATATGGGTGGGTCTCATATGAGTTTAAAAAAAAAAAAAGAATACCACTCACTCCCCATATTGTGTGTGATCTGGAATTTGTTGACCAACTCTATTTTGTACATATTTTATTTTTGTGAAGTTAGATTTAGGTTTGATATGGATCTCATTATATAATTTTATTTTCCTTTTTCAATAATGTAAGGACATGAGAATAAAATCCTCACCTCCAAAACAAAGATTATATAAAATATATACGGGTGCACGAATTAGTGTACATAGTATATACTCACATGGGGTGGGTCCCATGTGAGTAAAATATTGTCAAAAAAAAAAAAAAAAAAGCCACCACTCTCCATATTGTGTGTGATCTGGAATTTGTTGACCAACTCTATTTTTTACACATTTTATTTCGTGAAGTTAAATTTAGGTTTGATCTTGATCTCATTACGTAATTTTATTTTCCACTAACTGTTAAATTAAAGATTGTCTGCCAAAAAAAGTCTTAGACTTCGAGCAAATTGATTTTTTTTCTCTTAATATTAATTTCTTACATTATTTTTTATTGTTTTTACACTTAAAAATGGTTTTCAACACTAGTTTGTCGTTAGAAGACTGAAGTGGAACGGCGTTGTCGTGATTGGGGGGTGGCAGCGTTGATATATATATATATAACAATTTCGTGTTTAGCCTATTTAAATTGAAAGAATAATTCTAAAAGTATTTATAATTATAATATTGTTATTCATAAACTGCAATATTTATATATATATATAACAATTTCGTGTTTAGCCTATTTAAATTGAAAGAATAATTCTAAAAGTATTTATAATTATAATATTGTTATTCATAAACTGCAATATTAGCCCTTTCACCATCCAGTAGTCTCCACCCTAGAACCAAGAATAATGTTATTGATAGTAAACACTACCACATGTATGCCATGCAACATTACTCTAGAAACAAACAGTTAATGGATTTCAATAGGGATATCAACAAGTCGAGCCTAAAACCTTCGGCTTGAGCTCAGCTCGGTTAAAATAGTCGAGCTTTTTTACGAGCCGATCTTTTGCTGGGCCAAAAATTTTTGGCTTTACCCGAGCTTTCGGCTCGGGCTTTTCCGAGCCGAGTCGAACCGGGCCGACTCCTTTATCTTCTGGGTTGCCTTGACTTTTTATTTATTTATTTTTTCTTTCGTTTCGCTGCCTTGAAAGGCAGCATTTGTTGCCTTAAAAAGGCAGCAATTCCGCCTTTTAAAGCTACCTCTTTTTTCGTTCTTCGTTCTTCTTTTTTTTTTTTTTAAAGGCTCTCGGGTCGGCTCGGGCTCGGCCCGTGTCCCCAAAATGGGACTCGACTCGAGCCTCGGCTCGATTGCTCCGAGCCACGAGCTGAGCGTGACATCCCTAGATTTCACTTATAGTACAATGTTTTATGATTGGTTGCTGAAACTCACATATAATTGATGAGATCTTTTCGATTCACATATATTGAAAATCATTAAATCACAACTATTAAAATCATTACATTCCAACATTATATACAATTTTATGATATTCTAAAAATTTCATTTTGCTGTAAAATATACTGCTGGCCGGCCTTCCTATTGTGCTGGCCTAAAGTTCGATACACTAGGCAGTTGAAATTGGTCCAACCCGTTTAACACCGCCAGAGCGGAAGATGTCTAATTCAGTAATTTGGAATCAGAATTTAGGGTTTCAATCAGCTAATATTTTTATTTAATTAAAAAAGAGCCAGCCCAATTAAAAAATAATAATAATAATAAAAAGACGAAAATGATTCCACAACATGGCTTGTCAATAGGTGGCCCTACAAAACGCGTGGGTCGATGATTTAACCTCCAATTAATTGTATTTACTTTCCAATTGTCCGTTCAGTTGTCGTCAACCCTCCAAGAAACTGCAATTAACCAGAGACCCAAGAATGGCAGAGGGCGCAGTATCATTTCTGTTGAATCAGCTAGCAACACTTATCCAAGAAGAGAGACAACTATTAGGAAGACTTGATGAAAACGTCCTGGATATCCAAAAGCAACTGGAGTTCATGCGGGCTTTCTTGCGAGTTGCTGATGCAGAAGAAGATGGAGATCCTCAACTCCAAGCATGGGTTAAGCAAGTGAGGGAGGTTGCTTATGATGCTGAAGATGTCATCGAAACATTTATGCTACAGTTTGCAAATCTCCGGGCAGAAGATGGATTTTGCGGCTGTGTCCAGAAGATCTATCTCTCTTTAAAGAATCTCAGAGTGCGCCATAATATTGCGTCTGATTTGGAAAACATCAAGGGAAGGGTCACGAACATTTCTAAAGGACGTGAGATGTTCCAAAGAGATTCTGGTGTGCAGCTGAGATCTAGCTCTACCTTACTGTTTGGTGGGCGAGTTGATGCAATTTTGGTGGATGAAGCTAAGCTTGTAGGAATTGACAGGCCAAAAGAATTGCTCATTAAAGAGCTTCTTGATGATGAAACTCGGCTTAAAGCTGTTTCTGTGTGGGGAATGGGAGGATCGGGGAAGTCCACATTGGTTAAACGGATTTACGAGGATGAACGAGTGAAAGGGAAATTCCAGTGCCATGCTTGGATCACTGTTTCTCAGTCCTTTGACATCATGAAGCTTCTCAAAGACTTGATTCGAAAGTTGCACCATGAAATCAAGGAATCTATGCCTCAGGAACTGGAACGCAGTCAAGAGGTTGAATTGAAAGAATTTGTCAAGGAATTCCTCTCTGAACGTCAGTATATCATAGTTTTTGATGATGTATGGAGCACTGGTTCATGGAATGCTCTCAAGCATGCACTGCCTGACAAAAATATGAGTAGTCGTGTGGTACTCACTACACGGACACTCGATGTGGCTAACACAGCCAGTCAGCCCGAATATCCGGGCTGTCACGGCTGTGTCCATGAAATGGAGGCCTTATCTTATGAAGACTCTTGGAAACTACTTTGTAACAAGACTTTTGGAGACGAAATCTTCCCCCCACATCTACAAGACTGTGCAGATGGCATATTGGATAAATGTAAGGGCTTGCCTCTTGCCATTGATGCTGTTGGTGGTCTATTGGCTATGAAGGACAAGAACAGCGTAGAGGAGTGGAGTACAGTCTCTAGCTACCTTAACACCAAGCTACATGGTTATAGTGATAACCTTGAAAGAACACGACAGGTACTTCTTCTAAGTTACTATGATTTGCCTTACTATCTCAAGACTTTTCTATTGTACTTGAGCATTTTCTCTGAAGATAGTACTAACTTTGAAAGAATACGACAGGTACTTCTTCTAAGTTACTATGATTTGCCTTACGATCTCAAGACTTGTGTATTGTACTTGAGCATTTTCCCTGAAGATCATATGATTGACCATATGAGATTGATTCGGCTATGGATAGCTGAAGGATTTGTGCAAGGGAAAGAAAGGTTGACAAAAGAAGAGGTTGCACTTCATTATCTTGAGGCGCTCATTAATAGAAGCCTAATCCAAGTTGCAGAGAGATATCCAGATGGAAGGGTAAATCTTTGTCGTATCCATGATATTGTACATGAAATTCTTGTTTCTAAGTCAAATGAGCAGAATATAGTGAACACTGAAATGGGAAGAGATTCAGAGTTGCCTGATAAAGTTCGACGGTTTGCAATACGTACTTCCATAGACAGCGGCCACCTAGAAACTAATAGGTTGAAATATCTACGATCACTGATATTAACAGCGTCCGTAGATTCACGATTTGAATCATTCTTATCAAAGCTGCTGTCAGGTAGTCGAAAGTTGCTAAAGGTGTTGGACTTAAGAGATGCTCCACTAGGAAAGATCTCAAATGAAGTTTTCAAACATTATCATCTTACGTATTTGAGTCTGAGGGGGACAGAGGTCAAGGACATTCCAGAGTCAATTGGACAGCTTCAATGCCTAGAGACTTTAGATCTTAAAGACACTGAGGTCATTTCTTTACCAATTGAGATCCTAAAACTCAAAAGACTCCGACATCTCTTAGTATATAAATATAAGCCACCGATATGTGGTGTGTTTCCCTTTGATAATGTTCAAAGCTTTAAGGCTCCATACCGAATAGGATGCTTATCATCCCTACAGAAGCTTTGTTGCATAGAGGCAGACCAAATGGGTGACACTACGATAGTGAGAGAGATAGGGAAGCTAACCCAATTGAGGAGATTGTATATTAGGAAATTAAGAAGAGAAGATGGGAAGGATTTTTGCTCGTCCCTCAAGAAGTTAACTGAACTACGCTCGTTGGTTGTCGGTTCCATTAGAGAGGATGAGATCATTGAGTTGCAGGATGATCTCTATTTTAAATTTCTTCGAAACCTATACCTGGAGGGGAGGTTGGAGAAGGTACCACAATGGATACCTTCTCTTCACTCGCTGAGTAAAGTAGTTCTGAGACGTAATATGTTAAGCGACGATCCATTAGAATCCCTTCAAGATTTGCCTAGACTAGCATATCTTGAACTTGATAAGACATTTGAAGGTGAGAAATTGGAGTTTAAGGCTGAAAAATTTCAACGTCTCAAGACTTTAGGGATTTGGAGGTTTAATGGATTAAGAAAAATCGTGTTGGAGAAGTGTACCATGCCAAATCTTGATGTGCTATTCTTGGGGCACTGCAAGTTGGTAGAGTTGCCTATTGATTTCGAGCATTTGAACAAGCTTCGATACTTTCAAATCAGTTATATGGCCAAAAACTTTGTCGAGGCACTAGAAAATCAGAAACGAAGTGAAGGTAGTAATTGGAAACTAGCTCATGTCCGCAATATTTTTGTAGATGACGAACAAGGATGGGGAAACTTGTAACAAAGATTCCACTCGTTTGTACTATAGTCTTGTCCCATTTTCTTTGTCATTATTTCCTTGTACTTTTTTGTCTTCTTTCATGTCTAATGAGTCATGCTCTTATCATAGTAAAATAAACTGAAAGAAGCTCTTCTTATTCTGTATTCACTTCTTTATTGATTCGATTATTTTAACGTCTTCTAAAGGAAATAGAGAAGTTATGCTTAAAAGCAAGGTTTAAAAAAAAAAAAAATGTTATGCTTAAAAGCAAGGTTAAAAAAAAGGGGTCAAATTCTATCATTTAGAGTCTTCATTTTTTAGCCAAATGGATAAAAATTTAGAGGATTCAATTCTCTTTGGTACAAAAAGTTGAAATCGTAGGTGGACAACGCTGCATGCATAAGGGGGCATTAGCCCATCTCCAACCCTGCAACATTTTGCACTAAATCTTGCACCAAATTAAAATTCATCTCCAACCATTACACCAAAAATTACACCAAATGAACAATGTTTAACCATTTTCTTCCCTTTTTTTATTCTTTATAATTTACTTATTTGATATGTTATTTATTTAATTATTTCATAAATACATAAATTACTAAATAAATAATTATGTTAAATTACAGAAAAGATTAAATTCATCAATAAATATAAAAAACATAGAACAATTAATAAAAATACTACAACAACGAAAATCTGAAATCATGCCGTCAGAAAATAGTACAATGCATTTCGAATTTGGATAGACGATATTAGGAAATCGCTAAATTTTTGCAATTTAATTCTCATAATTCATATGTTCATCCTACAAATGATCAATTAATGCATTTCGAAGTGCAATGTGAGTTTTTTTATCTTTGATTTATTTATGAAGAGCAAGGGTATGTATGTATCTTTATGTATCTTTTTTTTAAAAATAAAATTAGATTATCGTATATATGTCGCTATTTAATATATTTCGTGTTAACTTCAATAAATAATCGTGTTTGATGTATTTTAAATTGTTTTCGTCTTTTAATTAATTTATTAATTATTATGTCTTACATTTAAAATTTATTTTAAATACAAATAATATTAATATTAATATAATAAAAATAATAATAATAATTTATTATATTAAAAAATATATAGCACAAATGACATAAATACCCTCAACAAATTTATTTGGAAAATGTTAAATAAGGGCAAAAGGGACATTTTACACTTGCAGTATTTTGGTGAAAAATGGTGCAAAGTGAATATTGTGCAACACTATTCACTTTGCACCAAAATGGTGCAAAGTTTGGTGTTGGGTTGGAGTAATTTTGCACCAAAAAATTGTGCAAAATGGTGCAATGATGTCATGGTTGGAGATGCCCTTACAAAGGGTTCGGCTAGGACGCACACAAGGGCAAGGCCCACACAATTTTTTTTTTTTTTTAATGCAGGTCGGTCCTACCGACTTGCTAGCTACAGTGAGAGGGCCTATAAGCCCCCGTAGAACAGTGCCCTGTACACGGGGCAATGTTCATTGTAGGTAAGAGCAACACGGTCAAATACTTTGCTTTCTCTCTTTCTAAATGAAATTTGGTAATCAAGAATTGTTATAATATTTTTGGTCTAAATCTTGTTAGTTATACATTGAAAATAGTCTCTCTCTCTCTCTCTCTCTCTCTCTCTCTCTGTATATAAATGAAATTTGGTAATCGTGAATTGTTATAATATTATTGTTTTTGGTCTAAATCTTATTACTTATACTCCAAAAATTGTCTCTCTTTTTTTCAGTGGTCAGTTCGATTCAATCAAAATTGTTTGAGCTCCATTCTTTTCATAAAAGTACATTTTTGAATAGAGTATTGATGGAAAATTTGTTGTTAAAAAATATGAAAATTTCTTTGATTTGTGTGTAATATTATTTTATTAAAAAATGTGTGGTTGAAATGATGTTAAATCACTGTTTAAAAATGTATTTTTACCAAAGAATGTGGTTCAAATAGGGGCTAAAAATGATAGCTACAAAAGTTTGAATGTCCCAACCTCTAATATTTGACCAAGATATCTATATTACCAAAAATAGTACATTATTTTTCTCAAGTAAAAAGAGTTGAAAGTAATTTGTTGTCCAACTTAGATCAACAAAAATAATACATTTCTAACACTTATTTAATCATGAGTAAGTTTTTTTAAAGCTTGGCCAAACATCTTCTTACAAATATTATACTAAGATGATTAAATAAAATGCATTTCTTGTTTTAAATTGTTTATTCAAAGGACGAAAGGATAGACTATAAGCTTTTTTCTTGCATTCAGTGTTCAAAGATTCTTATTATTACACATATCGAGTTGTATTTTTGCATGATCAATGGTTACCTTCCATAATTGAAGAAAAATAGGTGGGAGAATTGTGCTGATCCTTATGTAGGTTTAGTACAATCTTATTGAGATTAAAAATTAAATAGAGTGAACTCAATATTTTTAAGTCATGCAATTGCATAAAACCCCGTAAATAGATTTGACTTCCAAATTTTAAAACTATCATTATTTGTAATTAGTAATACTAGCTAGAAATATAAATAGTCCAATAAACTTAATTTACTAACATAATATTTTCAACAAATAAAAACTAACAAAAATATTTAAATTAAGGGGTTAATTTCACAAATGGTCACTAAACTTAGGCGAAAATTACAAAACAGTCACTGAAGTTTAAAACTGTAAGTAACAGTCACTTCAGTTTCAAGGCGCTTTCAAAAACGGTCACTGTAGTTTAAAAACTTTATAAAAGGGTCACTGGAGTTTCATTTTTTTGTGCTATTTTTGCGACAACTTTTCGGCCACTTCCGACCACCGATACCGACAAATTTTGAGACTGTTGGAAAGTCTCAATGTCCTTTTCAATTACCACCCAAAAACTCCCCGTAACTCTAAGGGATTCGATTGAAAAATCACTGCAAAAGTGCATTGACTTTTGCGGCGATTTTTCGGCTACTTCCGACCACTAAGACAGTCGGATTTTGATACCATTGAAAAATCCACAATGTCCTCTTCAATTATCATCCAAAATCTTCCACAAACTCCAAAAGATTTGGTCGGAATAAACCCACAAATTCGGCTACCCAAAAAGGTGAAAATCTGCTGAGATTCGGGATGCTGACTTTGTAAGTTTATTCCAACCAAATCCTTTGGAGTTATGGGGAAATTTTGGTTGATAATTGAATAGGAGATTGTGGGCTTTTCAATGGTATCAAAATTCGGTGGTTGGAAGTTGATGGAAATTGCCGCAAAATTCGCCCAAAAAATTGAAAAATCTGCCCAGATTTTCGTCTTTTCCAGTAGCCAACTTTGTAGGTTTATTCCGGCCGAATCCTTTAGAATTTGAGGAAGATTTTTGGTCGTAATTCAAGATGACATTGCAACCTTTCCAACAATAACAAAATTCGGTAGTATCTGTAGTCGGAAGTGGCCAAAAATTTACCGCAAAAATAGACCAAAAAATTGAAAAAGTGTTTTTAAATTTCAGTGACCGTTTCTGAAAATTTTAAAACTTCAGTGACCATTTTTTACAGCGCCCCGAAACTTAATTGACAATTACTGAAAATTTTAAATTTCAGTGACCGTTTTGTAATTTTCGCCTAAATTCGGTGTCCGTTTGTGAAATTAACCCTTAAATTAAGTATTAATGGAAAACTTCGTTGAAAATATAATAAAATTAAAAAATAGCTCATTTGTATATAATATTATAAAGAAAAAAATAAAATGGTATTTAACTTATTTATTGAAACTTGTAAGAAAATTACAAGTCCATCACCGAATTACGTCATTGACAAAATTGTCATCAATAATCTTTGACAAATTTGTGTCGATTATCACAAACATTAATTTTATTTGTTAGAATTATTAACAAATATTGATTTTCGTCATGAACGTCAATATTATCAAAATCGAACTAGATCAATCGATCCAAGAGCCGGGTTGGTTAACCTTTAAAAACAATATAAAAGAAACTAACTTATAACCCACAAAATAGACTAGTTCAACAAAAATTAGTGAACTGGTACCCATTTTTAAAATTTGATTAGGTCAACATTTGTGGGGAAAAAAAAAAACTCATGGAGTTTTGTAAGAAGCTTGCACATTTTCTATGTCACGTCGATTCCATAACCATTATTTCTCAGTGTACTATGTGTACACAAAAATTTGTACATAATGGTGCCCCCCACTCACATGGGTGGGGCCCACCGGAATATGTACAACAAGAATTGCCCTATTTCTTAAAGTAGAAATTACACAAATTCGAGGGTTTAAACATCACAATTCAAATATCAGAGTTGAAATTTCATTATGCAAAATTCAGGTATTGATTTAATAATTTAAATATTTATATTTCACCCAATTCATCAATTTTGTAATCCCTAATAAGTTTACCTTGCGTTCTCTCTCTACCATCTCTATACACTATACTCTCCCTTCACTCTATCATAAAATGCCATCGTCGGTGGCGATTCACGACGGCGGTGACATGGCGCCTTTGGCATCAAGGAAAGGCATTGGAGATGCAGCAATCGACTCCAGCTCTGGCGCCTCTGCTCTCGGATCCTTAGTTTCGTCGATACACAGATCGGGCGATTCATGCTTTTCACCAGCGCAGTTACATTTGCCTGGACCACCGCTTCTCTTTGCTCACGACGGCGAAGCAGATCCATCAAGCCACTGCACTTTTCCCTTCTCGAGTTGCGGTGATGAAATCACACTGCAAAGAAGACCACCCACTCTGGTGTTGTGGGTTTAGATGATGATTTGTGTGGTATTGGTGATTGACTGATTGTGTTTGTGTGGTGGCGGTTTGCGGTGGTGGTGATGGCGGTGATGTGTTTTTGTGTGAGTTCACGACTCGATCAATCCCTCAACTGTGTTGATGTGGTGGTGCTGGTGTGATGTGCAAGTTGCCGGTTTGTGTTGATTGCGGTGTGTCCTTTTTGTTGGTGGTGGTACATTGTTGGGGGTGGTGTCAGCGGCGAGATGGTGTTGACAGTTGTGTAGTGTTGTGGTGTGGTGCAGTTAGTCGTCGTGCTTTGGTGGTCGTTTTGGTTGTTGGTCGTGGTGGTGTTGTGACTGGGCGGGTGTAATACTGATGGTGACCAACTATTTGGTTGTTCTGTGACCAAGTGTTGGTGGTGGATTGGGATCGGGGGTGGAGTGTTTGGTATAT